CTCCCAGAGACCCCCGGCGGCGCCACCCCCATGACTGTTAGCTACTGGCCTGCCTATTATATACAGAGTGACTCCAGTCCATTCTTCCCTCTAAGCTGAATGAGTGTGAGCGAGCTCACAGTTTTTAGCCTCTGGCTCACATCTTTTTGTCTTCACTCAGTAAGGATGGGGCTCCAGAGCAAACTGATTTATGCAGTAGCCAAATCACTCGCTCACAACTTTAATGCCAGTACGCTCACACAGTAGAATCTTTGCTCACAAGACTTAACAGCTTAGAGGGGGGAAGGGAGAGAGAGCAGCGCCGACTTCCCAACTCCTGCTGCTTCCTCCCCCCCCCCACGAGTGTCGCGGGTCACCCTCTTGTAGTTATATAATTCACATAATATATAACTATTATTATACATTATAGCTTATTATGTGGAAAACAGGTATTTATTCAAACTTTGAGGACTCCCCAGGTTTCCAGAAGAATCTCAAAGCTTACAATCGATGGGGGAAGGGGGAGGTAGCTGCACCCGTGTGCCTGGGTTCTCACCACCAGCGCTGCTCTGCCACTGCTATTGTTCTATTGTTGTGAGCACCGATTTTAATTGATTGTTCTATCTGGTTTTAGTGTTATGTATGGCAATTGCCTCTTGTTAGCCACCCTGAGCCCATGTGGAAGGGCGGGATATAAGTCTAACAAATAAATAAATAAATAAATAAATTCTACCGGCCGGCAGGCATCGGGGAGAACCCGGAGCTGCTAGCCTTGCTGCCTCCCCCCCACTCGAGGCCAGCAGGCGGCTCCCCCCTTCCGCTGAAGAGGCAGCAGTGTGGGGTGGGAGGGAGGGTAAGCAGGAGAACTAGATGCCTCTGCAGCCCCTCCAACACATGAGCCAGCCAGCCCACTGAGCAGGTCAGGAGATGACAGCCTGGAACAGCCCTCGAAGCAGTCAGGTGGAGGAGTGGAATGGAACACGGTGGACAGAGCGGTGGTTGAGAGGGGGGGGGGCAGTGGCCAGGCAAGCGGGGCATCAGCAGTGCTGAGAAGGGAGGGCAGTTCAAAAACCTGGGGATAACTGTCACGGTAGAGCCAGGGAGGCAGCCAGACAGGGGGAGTCACAATACAAGGTCAGCCGGGAGAGCAGTCAGCAGAGCATTAAACAAGTCCCAAAACACCAGACAAAGCCGTAGTCAAACGTTACCAGAGGTCAGAGTACAGAGAGCAAAGCCGAGGGCGTGGTCAGGTTCACAGCTGGAATTCAGGAGCCAGAGTAGTCCAAACACAAGCCGAGTCCAAAAAAGCCACAGAGTCAAACAGGAATCAAGGTGCAGAGCTTCTGGTTCTATGAACGAGGTTGCCAGCACAAATTGCTCATGGCCAGAGGCCCTACTAAATAGTGCTCTGGCCCATTAACTCATTAGCACCTTTTTGCGAGGTCCTGGCTGCTGTTAAAACTCAGGGCTCAAGGATCTCTGCCCTCTTCAATGTGCTTCTTTTCGTAGGCTAGCCAGCTCCTGACGTCTCTGATCCCTAAGTCTACTTACAGGTGAGGGAGATGCAGGTGGTGAGCGGCTTATGGCTTGCTCAATCCCAGGTGCAAACCGTCCTGTAGTTGACTCAGATTGCTATGTATCCTCCTCAGTACTTACAGTAGGTGCAGATCCTGATGCTTCTTCAGCTCTTAAAGGCACTGAATCCTCCCCTCTTAGGCTGTCAGGAGCTGGCTCTGGGGCTGCATCAAGGGCAGGCATGACAATAACAGTGTACCGGAAGGACAACCGTCATGACCAGCACATGATCCTCTACTGAGGCACTGCTGTGCAGACTTAATGATAAGTTGGATGAGAAACTCTTTGCTGCTTCAAAGACCTGGCCACGCAAAAACAATTTAGCCAAAGCGGTCCCCATGAGGTTTGCACACTGTGGATGCAGGGGAAGCAGCTATCTCTATGGTCCAACCACATCAAACTGGTTGGAAACAACAAAGACTAAACAGGCATAAAAAAGGTGCAAGTCTGTAGCTGGAGAAAGGGACAAGGGCTTACTAAAGATGTGGACCACCTTTTAATGTATACATTTTTGGAAGGGGTACCTTGTGAGGCACGAAGGTCAGCTTGAAAAGTCCTGCATTAAGTTTAGGAAAAAGATCTGCCACATGGTTTGGATTTTGCTCCCCATCACTAGAGCTAATTAGGCTGATCCAAGAGTGTCCCTGCTGATACCAAACACATGTGTGACAAATTATTTCTACGAACTTGAACCAGTGCCTTGGAGCTATATGTTAGTTCCTTCTCTGAACAGGACAGGAAAGCAGGTAGCCCAGGGACAGATATGAAATGAAAACTCTGTATATGTAAGAACTGAGGGGTTTTTTAAAGGGAGAACCCTGAATACATTATTTGGATTACATTCAAAATATGAAAGAGCAAGAATAATGCACAGACTGGGAAGTCATGGGATGGGTCCACAAACCAAACGTTACTTGCATACAGAAACTGAAGCTTTGTGCTTCTCTATGATTCCCCTTTCATCTGTTTCCTTCATGAAGCTATTGATAGCAAAGTGGAAGGTCTGTGCGTTAACATGCTGCATTTGCAATGAGTGTGTATTGCATATCATCTGCATTTACACATCTGTTATAAAGGCAACGATATTTATAAATTTACTATATTTATACTCAGTTTTTTCCAGCTGGAATGGCTCCCAAACCTGCTTACAATTCAAATTCAATGAATGGTGACAACTGTAGCCTTGAAAACAACTTGCAGAACTCTGACTAACAGAGGAGTAGAGTTTGGCATTGGGAGAGGACATATCCCTTGCCTATGCTGCAGAGACCGTACGCAGGTAGGCTATTGACATTCATCTGCTAAAACCATAGCACATAATCTGTCAGAGTAGGCTTGAAGAAAAACAGTTTGCCTTCACCTAGTGACCAAATATTCTCCCTCAAGTATGAGCTGGAGTCCTGTCCGAGTTTGAGGTCGATACAGCCACAAGAACATGGCATCTTACAGTACCCACCGGTCCCATCACTCCTTACCTCTTGGAGATGTTCCATCTGCCCCTCCAGTTTTCTGCACTGCTGTTCCACCTCACCCAGCTGATCTTGCAGTAAGTGTACTGTTTCTGTTAAGTTATGATTCTGCCTCTTGCTGTCTGACAAGGTCTGTCTCATGGAATCCAAGCGGTCCTGGCAAATAGAAGAAAGCCAATGAAACAAAATAATCCAAAATAATCCAAAGGCACTTGGTTCAGTAGACAGCGGCTGATTCCACATAGAGATTATTTTCTGCTTGAACTAAAGAACCGGAGCCTTCCTCTTTGTCTGGAGCATTTACATGATGTTGTTGTCTAATCATGCTCCAATTGGCTAATCTCTCCAGCCTGGTATGCTCTTCCTATATTGGCTTCCCCCCAGTCTTGTTGGGTAGAATGAAGTCAAGTGTATTGCCATGCCATCTGGGTAGAAAGGTGCACATTTTCAAAGATCCTGCCCACACCAGTGACATTTTCCTTCTGTCAGCCCCTCACAGCCACCATTTCCCCTGTCATGCCACTGGTGAGTTTTTGGGGGACTTTTTGTTTGCCACCCTCAAAAAGCCTTTCAGTGCTGCATTGGGGAAAAAAGAAAAATGGCCACTGATGGAGAAAAATGCACAGAAAATTCCTATGTGGAAGCTCCATTGCCACTGGACGTGCCTCTGCATTAACAGTGGCAATTAATGCAAAATGGATCATCCTTGCTGTGTGGATGGAGGCACAGCCTTTTAAAAGCATGGTTCACTAGGGCTGCAGTCTTGCTCTGCCCCTAATTAATCCAGGTTGTTTTTTTTAATAACAGAGAGTTTTGATCTTACCCTTCACCTCGTGCTCACCCCATGGTTGACTGATCAGATACAGCAGCCACAGAGTGGGGTGGTCAGGCAACTTTTTAAAATTATTTGTCTTTTGAGCATGTGCATAAGCATGTATAGGAAGCAGTGCTTCAAACTCTTGGCAGGATGGTGGCAGCTGGTGGCCAGTGGGATTGCTGGAGGAGGCTACTGGGATATGTAGTGCAGTATGGGGGAAGTGTTTTTGAAACTGTGCTTTGGAAGTTTTTAAAAGAAAAACACAGTTTTGAGAAGCAAGAGAGAGAGAGAAAGGTGTCTGTAAAAAAATAAATGCACATGTGGTGCTTCATAGCAGTGGTGCAAATATGCAGTTATGCACCTCACCAACTGCCTCAAAAAAAAAAGCCCCAAACTGGAAGGGAATGTTCAGACTTCCTAAGTGACTTGAGAGTGCAATGGATTGATCAGACGTCCGGAGATGTGGGGTGAGACTGGTGACACCAGGAAGGATTGGACTTCCCCCGGTGTCAAATAACTCTGATTCACTGGTGAGAATGGGGTGCTCATGACAGATATTACTGTTTGATCATGCATTTTAAGTCCGGAAGGGAACAGCAATGACACTGGATCAAACAGCTTGTCTGATCACAGCCTAGATCTACATAGCAACTCAACATGGCCCTTCTATACTACGTTTCCAGTTCAGCACAGTGGAGAGAGAGAACCTGCACTACAACTGTGCTCCTCCCTTTATACAGACAACTGTTCAAGATGGAACTATTTCCAGGCCTGATTTTTGCTCATTAAAGGCCAAGCCATGGAGATGGCACTGCCAAACTGTTGAAGGAATCTGAATTTTAGAATTCTCTAGGACAGCAAAGGCGCTGCGGTGGCTCAAGTGGTTAAGATGCTGAACTGCAGGCTGTGGAAGGTCAGTAGTTCAGCAGTTCGAGACCCGGGTGCCGCAAGATGGGGTGAGCTCCCGTCTCTAGTTCCAGCTCCTGCCAACCTAGCAGTTTGAAAGCAAGAAATTGCAAGTAGATAAATAGGTACCACTTCGGTGGGAAGGTAACAGCGTTCCGTGAGCCTTGGTGTTTAGTCATGCTGGCCACATGACCACGGAAACATCTTCGGACAGCGCTGGCTCTTCGGCTTTGAAACGGAGATGAGCACCGCAACCCTATAGTCGGATTCGACTGGCTTTCGAGCAAGGGAAACCTTTACCTTTTTAGGACAGCAAAAGGGCAAGATTCTACTTAGTAAAAGGAGTTCCAAAAGAGCCTGCTTGCTGACCAGGTTGTCTGCAACAAGGGGATGAGATTTTGTGGTTGCTGGTACAGCTACAGATAAAATGTAACAGCAATGGGGCTTCCATGTGGCAGGTTTCCCTGGCCCAATACCCTGGAAGTGGCTATCTCCTCTCCCTTGAGCCAACAGGGCTTTTGCAATCTTTTAAAAAAAAATGTCAACAAAATATTTTAATATCAGTATACTGTTGTAACAAAAGGTGTAGCAGGGTCTCTAAACTTCCAGCTTTCATTTCTATAAAAGTAAGTCTCTAGCTCCTTCCCTTGTTGAAGACATTCTTTTTTCCTTACATCTCTGCAAGGGAAGGAGCTAGAAACCTACTTTTAAAAAACTGAGAATTCAGACAACCTGTTATACCTATTGTTACAAAGGTACATTCATGGGTATGGTCAGACGTGCGTTGTTGCTGCTGGAGCCCTGTGGATTTAAAGTGCACGTTCAGACATCCACATCTGTATCCTGTTCCCCAGTCATTGGTGTCCAGTACTCACCACTCTCCTGGCACATTCTTTTCAGAACCTGGGAAAGTCCAAGGTTTATGAATTCCCAGCACAGTTCCAGATGTCTGGATTTCCCCCCGTGCAATCAACCCACTTCAGAAGGGAACTGTCCCTTCTGTTTCAGCACCACTTTTTTTCTCCCAGGTAGCAATATGCACATAACCCCATAAATGCCCCTGGGATTTACATCAATGCCTGTGAGCTCCTGCTCTGCAGCACCTTTTTGGGATCTGGAGCCCCCGGGGGGAGGAGGTTGGCTGCTAGTGGGAAACTCGAGGAACAATACCCTTTCTCTTGTTTCTGGGAGTTGGACAGCTTTGAAAATAGTTCCTAGTCAGGCTTGCTTTTCGGGGGCCATTTTCCTCATACGGAACTAGAGTCAAAGTCATGTGACAGCTTTCCTCTGGTGGGACAGTGTGGACAGTTGCCCACGGGGTGCGCGCACAGTGAAGCAGGTAGCAAGGGAGAAGTCTGAATGTTTCTCTCCAGAACACAAAAAACCGGATGAAATTAGAGGCGCGGTCAAAGCTCGGAAAGCATGCCGTCTTACCACACCCAATAGAATTCTAGTGCAAATTTTTTTTTAAATAAAAAGCTTCCAGTGCAATGGGAAGGAAATGGCTCCTATGGTGGCAGGGTCAGAGAAAATGGCTGCCATGTGAGCTTGAAAATCCAAATTTCCCACTCTCACAGCAGCCATCCAGGCTTTTGTCAAATCTTTCCCAAATCTTCGGAACAAATCAGGCTTGAGCAGGAGGACTTAACACATCCCTCTCCCAAGCACTATTTATATCATTGCACCTATATCGCCTGGCTCAGGATCACATCTATCAACAGGCAGTGCCTGGACATTTTTGGAACATTTGGGATCTACTACCTGGAGCAGCCGACGGTCTTGCTCAGCTGCAGTCAGGGCCTTCTGCAGTTGGGAGATGTTCTCTTGCAGGGAGGAGGAGCCAGAAGTAGCATCAGACAGTGCTTGGGATAAACTTTGCACTCTGCCCTTTAGGTGGCTTTCAGCACTCTCCGTCCTGGCCAGTGAGTGAGTCAGATGGTCCAGCTCCTGCTGCAGCAGTGCAGTTTTGCTCTCCTTGTCTCCAAGCTCACAGTGAAGCACCTGGGCCTGCTCCTGCAGGGACTGGATCTCTGTATCCCGTTCTATCAGGCTGAGGTGGGCACGCTGTAGCTCTCCTTCCACAGCTCTGCGGCTCAGCTCCAGCTTGGTGGCCCTGCTTTCTGCTGCTTCCAGGACTTCCTTTAACTTCCATTTTTCTGTCTCAAGCTTGGCCTCCTTGGCTTTCAATTTACTGACTTTTTCCTAAACAGAAAAAGAACTTCAGGACTGTATGTTCTGTGTGTATATTTCTCATACCTTAGAGGGGGACAGGAAAATGAGAAGGAGACCAGGTGTTGCTGGAGCCATATTACATACATCCCAGATGAAGGAAGAACACTTGGAATTGCTCCTGCATCTGACACAAGTTGTACGAGCATACATGTACTTATCAATGAAGATTCAGAGATGGGTGAAGTGAAAGAAGGATAGAGATGGATTAAATGCAACAATAATTTTATAACAGCAATCTTATAGGTAGCACTTCCTGAAAGGAAGGCATTTATCAGTGCTTCTGATCCCAGCAGGGACACCTGAATTGGGGGGCACTTCAGCTATTCTTCTCTGCAAGAAGCATGGAAAGCTGCCATTTGGATCAGCACTTGGGAGATTAAATCAAGAATGCAGTAAAACCAACAACAATAATAAAAACCCTGTATGGAACTGTACAAGCTAGGGTTGGGGCAATATGTTTCTTGTCAGTAGAAATGTCACAAGTTCTATCCAACTGGGAACCATGGCTGTCATACAACCAAATTGCACAGCCCAATTCAGCTTATAGTCTTGAATCCTGATCAAACTGCTGGGAAACAGTAATGAAATGGCAACCTGGAATGCCAAGTGCTGTCATTACTGGGAATAAAAAAATTCTGTACATGAGTGCTGAAATACAGGCTGGTGAGCAGCATATCCATGCCCATGGAATTTTCATTCAATGACCTGGACAAATTAGAAAATTCAAAAATGGCCCCAACTTTGATGCCTACCTCATGCACCATCAGCCAGGTAAAGACACCACCTCTCACCACACTGCCCAGATCACAATGTGAATTACAGAAAGTATTTACATGGAAACTTACCACACCACAACCTCTTGGCAGCATCCGGGAGAGAAATGGAAAGGATCATTATTTTGATGGAGACTGGGTGAAATGTCATCTGGTACTATTATCAGTTTTCATGTTAGCTCAGTGCAGTAAAACAGCTGGAGCACTGCTTGAGGTAACAGCTTAAAAATGATCCCAGCCCTTTAAAATGTTGGGCAAATACATTTAAGAACATATCATAAGAACATAAGAGATGCCAATGTTGGATCAGGCCAAAGGCCCATCCAGTCCAACACTCTGTGTCACACAGTGGCCAGAAATACCAGGTGCCATCAAGAGGTCCACCAGTGGGGCCAGGACATTAGAAGCCCTCCCACTGTTGACCCCCCCCCAAGCACCAAGATGACAGAGTATCACTTGCCCCAGAGTCCCTATCTATACCTTGTGGCTAATAGCCACTGATGGACCTCTGCTCTAGTATTAATTTGCTTTCTGATTTAGGAACCAGAATTTGTATTCTGTGCATATTAAAACAAGTTAGATTAATTTCACTTTCTCTAAAAAATGGAAAATTGATCTACTATCCTTGAGAAAATATCCTACATTATTCATGATGGAAGTACTTTAGAAGCAATCTGGTGACATGCCCTTAGATGGCTTTTCCCTCCTCAAAAAGCATAACAACAACAAAACTTACATACCTGCAGATCCCTGTTTTTTGCCTGACAAATGTGCAAGTTGTGCTCTAGGGTGACCACCTGCTCTGCACATGCCTGTCGCTCCCTCTCTGCTGCCTGAATTGTCTCCTCTTGTAGCATCAGTGCTGCCTGAGCGCTACTCAGACGTCCATCTGTTCCCCGTTTGCCTGGAGGTAAAATAAAAGTGTTTTTTTTAAGGAAACAAATTCATTGCAAATTGGGTTTTGTGCAGAATAAGGAGTTATTCATGCACTGTTCTTAATAACTGCATTGATTTATCTTCTTCCAACTTGAATCCATGTTCTGGTAATGACAGATTTAGCTCACAGTTAAAGAGGTATTAAATTAAGAAGGAAAGAGCTATGCCAGACAGCACCTGAAATGCGGAAAATAGCCAGTTTATATTCTTCCTGCCTCTCTCCCAGCCCTTCTCATATGTAAAGGTAATTAGGTTTCTATTTTATGTGACTAAGTTACACCCTTATAACCCATTAACTTCAATGGACATAGAATGGTGTAACTCTACTTAGGATGGCCCTGCACGGTTGTTATGATTAAGGCTTTGATTTCACCAGAAATTGTTTGTCATTGGTTTAGAACTACCTACACATTAAAAATTTTCTTTGAAGGTTTTAAGAATGTCTATTGTAATTTGCTTTACTGTAATGAACAGTACTGAGCTTGTGAAACTGATTTCTACCGGTACTACCGAGCCAGTTTGGTGTAGTGGTTAAGTGCGCGGACTCTAATCTGGGAGAACGGGGTTTGATTCCCCACTCCTCCACTTGCACCTGCTGGATGACCTTGGGCAAGCCGTAGCTCTTGAAAAAGAGCAGTTTCTGTCAAGAGTTCTCTCAGCCCCACATACCTCACAGGGTGTCTGTTGTGGGGAGGGGAAGGGAAAGGAGTTTGTAAGCCGCTCTGAGACACCTTTGGGTAGTGAAGGGCGGGGTATAAATCCAATCTCTTCTTCTTCTACTACTCCTGGAAGAAAACTCTAGAAACTCAGAACACCTGTAGCTCAACACAAATTAACTTAATGGTTGTATTTCTGCAACTGTTTCCTCATTTGCTTGTTTGCATTCTTTTTCTTTAATATAATGCTTTCAGTTATTCAACTCTGTTTTACCCTGGGAGTACTCAGAAGGGTTTGGACCTTAGGAACCTTGTGTAACTCTTCAGTGGTGTCACTGGAAGATAATGGAGTGGCCTTATACTATTTTTTAATTAAAATTTAATTTAATTTATACCCTGACTTTCTCCCCAGTGGGGACCCAAAGCAGCTTACATCCTTCATTTGACCTTCATAACCAATCTGTATGGTAGAGTAGGCTGAGAGTGTGTGACTGGGCCCAAGACGAACCAGCAAGCTTCCACGGCAGAGAGGGGATTCAGACCTGGGGCTCCCAGATCCTAGTCAAGGACTCTAACTACTACACCATATTTCATGTATACATGTGTGGAAGATAGCTATGCGTGCAGGGGGAGCAAATAGTATGTCTTGTCCCAGGGCCCCCAAAACTTAGCTGTGCCACAGCAATAGGAATTGTGTGAGGCAGGCAAGCAGGCATAGCCCCCCTACTTCATCTCTTTCTTAGAACTGACTCTGACAGAACTCACTGGTAATTTAAGACTCTGCCCCCCTTTCTTGAGACAAGGACATGTTAAGCCATCCTGCCCTTTTAGATTGTAAGGGACTGGACAACTTCTGAATTTTGTCCAGAACCTAAAAACACTCTCCTAGCATCAGGTATAAGCAGATGGCAATAATGTGTATTTTAAAAATTCTCTACTATACTTTTCAATAAGAAGCCCTTCGGGCAGTTTTCATATTAAAAAAAAATTAAAGGACCCAGTAAGCTTTCACCATAGACCAGTGATTCAAACGTGTGTCTCCCAGATTCTAATCTAACACTTTGGGTTTCTCATTTCTAATCCAAAAGAGTTTACTCTCCAGGTTCCCAAACCACTTAGTTAACTAGTTGGTGGCAATGACTATTGAGATGGAAGGTACAGTCAGGGTTTCAGTATTTCTCCTAGTGTGTTTACTTTGTCCTTGCGAGGCCTAAATCTAAAGAGTTATGTTTACACTGCATGGATCCGTTTCCCCCATCCCCTGTCCTTTCACACACACCTTCAGTGATATTATTTCAATGATATTATTCTCAAAGTAAGATGGGACAAAACCATGTGTTATTAATCGCCACAACAACTTGATTTCACAGTGACAAAGCACTTATTGCCTGCACTTGCAGGTAAGGAAATTCTAGCTTTTATTTTAAGAAAACCTTGAAGTGCTGCCATTTTGAGCCAAGAAGCAGCAGGAACAGGAATGGGGATGTTTACCCTTTTCTTCCAGCTATTATTCCACCTAAAATGGCCCTTCCAAAGTTGTTCCTCTACCCCAAGATTCATGGGTAAACAGACTTCTGGAGATCCATTGGTGGAAAAAGTAGCTTGGGAGAGAGTGATTTTGAACAGAAAAAAAAGGAAGAGTTAAGCATTCCTCTTCTGATCCTGCTGTTCCTCTACTCAAACTGACAGCCTTTGATGGCTGCTTTTCACTTAAAACCAAGTTGGGGGTTTCATTACAATCAGCACAGAGATCACACCTGTAGAATCTTCCCTGGCCAGCAAACAAGAATGCCACATTCATATGAAAAGCAAGGAAAGCATCCCCTGTTCTCCAAAGAGATAGAGAAAGGAATGAACTAAGAGGAAAAACATTAGAACATGCCTTCTTCACAGTCTGCTAAGACTTTCTGAAGCTGCAAGATTCGATTCTTTGTCTGGTCACGGTCGGACTCCATTTCACTTATCTGACGGCTCATATTCATCACCTGAATCCTCAGGTCATCCTGGGAAAAAGGGAGGTAATCATACGGTTAGTATCTCTAGTCTGTGAACAAGGAAGACAGAGAAATACAATGAGGAGTAAGATACTGCATGTTATTGTTTTTTAAAAAATCATTTTGCAATTTCTAGCCTGTCACATGGCTCAAGACAACTTACAGCATTGCCAAACATAAACCTAACTCATTATTCTAAAATTGAAATCAATAAGTAAGTATAACATTAATTTTAAAACAGCCTTAAAATGATGTCAATTTTCAATGGATGACATAATAAAAATCAGGCGGTGTGGCCAAACATCTGTCAGTTTTTTAAAATAAAAATGAGAAAGAACTGTCCTGATGGATTTCTCTGGGGTGGGAATCCACACAGGGATGCCACCACCAAAGAGGCCTTGTCCCAAAGGATCTAGATTCAGAAAATGAAGAGCCTCTGAGCAAAGCCTTATCTGATTAGTTTAGTGTACAGGGAGGTTATATAAAATTTGATCCAAAGAGTTTTTCTTCAACTGACAAAGCTGGTTTTAGTAGTTTAGATTGAAAACCTAAATTGCTTATTGTGGCAGAAATGGATAATACATTTTCAGAAATATTTTGAAATATTATAACTTTAACCTGTCCTTAAGAGCACAAATATACCACTGGTTGTATAAATCATCTTAATTTCAGTGGCAGACAGTATTCTTCAGCAAGTGTGTTAATGGACATGCCTGTTCAAAGGGAGTGGACAGCCTATTTCTAGATTTCACTGAACTGGTAGTTTACACTGCCTCTGAACCCATTTTAAATGCTAGGTCACCACCTTTGAACATGTGAATAAGGAAAAATGCCTTTGAGAATGTGCAGATGGCCTTATCTTTAGCATTCAACAAATGTAGCCAATCAATCCACATAATATCTGGGACTGGTATGCAGTTTTCTAGAGCAGAAAATAAAGTTTAATGGCAAACTTGAAACGGATACTTTTCATTTTATCAGTTAAGGTCCTCCTTGAGACCTCGGTCTAAATCAGGGGTCATTTGGGGGGGGCGCGGGGGGACGCCATCCCCCGGGTGAGGTGCGGGAGGGCGGGGCCTAGAGCTCCCTGCTGGTGCCCGCTGGAGGTCGCCGCCGGCTGTGGGGAGGACACACTTCCGGTGATGTCAGGGGGTGTGGCATATGCTAATGAGTTATGCTAATGAGTCCCCCTAGCTCTTTTTCTACGAAATGACCCCTGGTCTAAATAATTTAAAAGACATTGCCAAAGCATTTTCCTCCTTTCCTTTCAAGCCTTTAAAAAACTATATTCCACATTTCTTGCTAGTCTGCAATCCCTGTGTACTTTTCCTTGAAAGTAAGGTCCATTGCACTCAGTGAGACTTACCTCTGATGGAGTTACAAAAGTGTTAACTCAGTTGATGCTATTGACTGTAGCTGTTTTGGTTACCGCAAGCTAACAATCAACTACAGCATCTCAGTGGACAAGGCAGAGAAGGAAGGAATGCCTTAGATTTTATACAACCCAGAAGGAATTAACTGATTTCTCCATTTGTCAGAAAGGCCGTTGGATGATCTGGTGCTACAATTATTATGACAGCCCATGTTTTTTAAATTATTCTGGTACAGTATAAATATTTATGCATTTTTACAAGAGGCATGCTTTTGAGCAATAAATAGCACATGACAGAGAAAGGCTGAACTGCCCTTGGATGTTGCTAAACATATGTCTTGGGAGTCAACTTGGGGTCAAACTGAGCTAGGTTGGCTCATGTGATCCAGCAGAGCAAGAGCTGGGATAGCCTGACGGGCTGCAGTGCCAGGGACATGAACTGGGTCCCTGAAAGAGCCTCCGCACACTAGGGGTTCTGTGCTGAGTCCTGCTTCATACCGTTCTTCATACTCATCGAAGTATTGATGCATTCCTTGAAAATATTATGCCTTCATAAAGTCTAAAGATCCTTGCTAACAAACAATTCTGTGCCTGTCATAAATCTGGTATCCTTGCACATATTTACTTAATTTGCATACTTTGTTCATGTTGCAAAAATCTTTTGCAGAAATTTGGATTTTCTCCCCCCACACACACACTTTTTGACAGAGAGCTAGGATGTGGACTGAGGAAAGAAAGCTTGGGACCTTTAGATCAAAATACTAGCAACAAATCTAAAAAAGTTAGATTTCACTTTCCCCTTCCCAGTTATATTGTTGACCATTTGTATTGCAATCTTTTCAAACTGGAGCTCTATACAATTTTTATATTTTTCTTGTACACAAGGAGAAACGTACCCATTTTACAGATAACTGTAGATAACTGAGAAGAGAATCTTTTCCCCAAACTCTCCCAATGTGTACAACCTGAAGCAAGACAACTTCCAGACGCGAATGTAATGTTCTACACACAAATACACCAAACCCAATGTGTTTTTATGTGCTTCTAAGTACACCTGTCTTTTAAAAGCCCGTATATAACATTCAGTGTCATATATTCCACAACTTGCACCATGATAAACATATATTCAAATTGTTTCACATCTTGTATAGAATTATGCCAAGATTCTGCTCTGTTGTGTGGCATAAAATGAATCTCTTTTCCTGAATTAATTGGTGCATTGCCTTTGGGATCTAACATGGCAGAACTAACCTATTCCCTATACCCACTTAAAAGTCACTGAATAAAATCAAGAGAAGATTAGATAGGTTTTGTATGCACAGAACTCCCCAGGCATCTAAGAACACATCCAGAGATTCTGATAGTTATTGGTAACACCCTTAAAGCTAACATGGCACTGGAAAAGCAGCATGGCATGTTATCTTAAATGAAGTGCTTGGAAACACAAGCCTCAGAAGTGCTTGCACGTGCACGGAGAAGGACAGAACAGACTGTGTTGCAAGTAAATGAATTTCTGAAGCCACCCTGTTTTCTTTGCTATGCCAAGGCTAATAATAGCAATTAAGGTGGGGGACACACATGATGATTTCTATCAGGAAAGTGACTCAGAATGAAAGGGTTAATGTAGCAAAGTAAGGTGGGGGACACACATGATGATTTCTATCAGGAAAGTGACTCAGAATGAAAGGGTTAATGCTACCATGTCCCAGTGCTGTGGCCTAGATCCAAACTGTGTCCAACTGCAACTGCCTTTCAATAAAACGTTGGGGGGGGGGGGTGATCAGTAATTATGCCATGACACATCTAATTGTGTCCTAAGTCTTTAAAATTCAATAGCCTCAGGACAGAATTACACATTACATTTAGGTCTGTGATCCTTGTAACCAACTTTTCAGAGTTTTTTGTGCTTTTTTATAACACAGGCTTTGGAGCTGCAATCTGAACAGGGGAAACTGCTGCACGGGGGTGGGGGGAGGTCTTACTTTCCCCTTTTCAGTCCATCAGTGTCCTCGAGCTGGTTTCGGCTTTGCTGTGAAAGAACTGCAGTCACGAGTAAGTTTTCTCCAGTGGGGATCAAAGAAGTTTGGGAATAGTAATTTTCACTGGGACAATGAAGCAAGAGGGAAGAGATTGTATAGCCCTTCCTTCCTCTTCCTCCCTCCCACACACTCCAGCAACTGGCCTGTCTCTGCACAAATTGCAGTCCCAGAGGCTACACTGCAAAAAGTGACGAAAATCTATAAAAGGTATCACCAGTTATGCCCATAAGTACTTAAATGCTATGGATTTCTGAAAGGCCTCCAGCCTAATTTGATACAAGCTTGTTTATAAAGTTCACTTTGTTCAACAGGACTTTCAAAGGAACTATGCACAGACCTTTTGTTGTTGAATTTGCAAAAAAAGAAAAAGAATAAACAATGGAAAGAGCCAAAAGAGGTTTTGTCACTCACCCTCTCTCTCTGAGTATCTCGTAGCTCTTGAAGGAAGCCCTTCAAAGCATCTCGGACTACTTCCGGGTCAATTTCACTCGTGCTATGCTCACCTCTGAGAGGAGATGTCTGCTTACATGGGGAACGTGAGCGGCTCCTCTCAGGAGATCCAGTGTGGGAGGCAGGTGTTTGTTGGCCACTGGTTCCTGTGAAAATACAGCATCTCCATCTTTAAGCCCAAACTTAAAACATAACCATAAATTAGGGCCCAAATCAATGTACAACAGCAGAAGGAAAGCAATACTATAGGCATTCTGTGATTATATTATTATAAGCAATGGATTTAGTACCAAGCCATGAGAATCCATCATTTTGAGTACCAAGCCATGAGAATCCATCATTTTGAGAATCCATCCATTTCTAGACCTTAAGATGCAAAGATAGTCTTGAACATATGTGGACAGTAGCTGATGAAATCTCAGAAGCCAAACTGGGAGAATGAACTGGATTTTAGTGGTAGGAGGGAGGGACTTTACTGCAGTTGTCATGTGCAACTACAAGGCAGTTTCAGCCAGGATTTGGCTTTCTACAGCACTCCACATGTATTGAAAATGGAATGCTGAGGACACATGAAGCTGTGTTATACAGACCAGAGATCCCTCTAGACCAGTATTGTCTGTGTTATCTGGCAACAGTTTTCCAGAGGCAGTGGGCTTCTACAGTCTTGCTTCTGGATCCTTGAACTGAAGAAACCAGGTGAAAGATCCTGGAGTCTTCTGAACACGTGAGTGCTCTGCTACTGAGCTATGCCCATCCCCAACCAAATGTCTCACCAAGGTATTACTTAAGTAGCAGCAACCCATGTTAACGTCTGAAACATTTTTCATCTCCTTCCACTCTCTCCGTCCCCCAGAATTCACTTTGCTCCCCATTGCAGATATTCAGTGATGTCCTATTGGTGGGGTATGTTTCCCTTTCAGAATGCAAGGATGATGACTGTTCACTACTTTTTCCCTTTGCTGAAGCTTAGCCCACAACCGTATGGAAGGTATCATAGGGGTACTCTGACCTTTGACTGGGGAGCTGGATCGTTGTGGTGATGGACTCCGACTGCCCAGCCCAAGTGTTCGGCGCAGAGTTGAGTGCAGTGCCACCAGCTTCAGCTCAACCTCCCTCTTAGCAGTTTCAGCTTTGGCCAGCTCTATGTCTAAGCCATGGGTGCGTCCCTCACAGGTGCTGAGGCGCATCTGGAGGCTATCGCCCATCCTGTTTGCCTCCTGCAGCTTCATCTCCAGGCTATGGAGATCATCCTTCAGCTTCTTCTCTCTGCAATGGCTCTCTGCAAGGCTCTGCGTGAGATCCTGCTCTCGCAGTCGAGCCTCTGCCTCTATGGCAGACAACTTTTTCTGCAAACTCAACATCTGAAAGAGAACAAGTTCTGAAGACTATGGCCCAGGGGAATTGACAGAGGGAATTCATACCATATCAGTACATGTACATGGATAGACAGTCCCACCCATACTTGTGTTAGTCGAGTGCTTTGTACACATCCACCTACCCCTGTTGCTCAGCTAGCCAGACATCTGTAAGGACATGCCTACCAGCTCACAGCCTAACAGTGCAATCATTACAGTAACACTATTCTAAGTCCACTGAAGTCAATGGGCTTAGAAGGGTGTCACTCTGCTTAGCATGTACTGCAAGCATATACAAAGGCACTTCCTCTATAAACTTCTAAAACATTTATGCTCTGCTGTCTATGCATACATGACCCACACAAACACAGGCAGCCATTTAGATGAACATACATGGTCCTACATGTCCTCCGTGAACACAGAGTGTAGTGGTTAAGTGTGCGGACTCTGATCTGGGAGAACCGGGTTTGATTCCCCACTCCTCCACTTGCACCTGCTGATGTGACTTTGGGTCAGTCACAAGCTCTGGCACAGCTGTCCTTGAAAAAGAGCAGTTTGTGTCAGAGCTCTCTCAGCCCCACCCACCTCACAGGGTGTCTGTTGTGGGGAGGGGAAGGGAAAGGAGTTTGTAAGCTGCTCTGAGACTCCAAGTGAAGGGCGGGGTATAAATCCAATCTCTTCTTCTTCTTCTATATACTCATATGACACCCAGCACACGGTTGCTACTATACAAATGTTAGGAAATAAGAGAAACATACATCTGCACCACACAAATACCTCCTCTGTTCCTTCATGTACACCAATTCCTTCAAGCTTTTCTCTACTGCCTTCTCAGTTTTCCCAGATCACTCTACTCTTCTTCCCCAATGTTACCTCCTTGTGAGCAGATTCGCGGCCAGTCTCCAGATCACTTATCTTCTGCTTCAGTTCCAGGGCTTCTTTGCTGCTCTGCTGTCCTTGTTGCTCTTCTTGTAGCAATCGATGCTGCAGCTCAGTGATTTCTTGGGCTTGCTTGCTGTTCTCACTCTCGAGGGTCTTCACCTGCAAAACGACAGGAGGAAGACAAGGCATACTCCAGCACACAAGTCCATGCTCAGTAGTCCGACTCACATGTGCTGTCTTTCCTTCTGCAAAAGGAGTGCAATATCTAGAACAGGTACTTGCTGGGTTTGTCCCATGAAAAAATATATCCCATGATTGATTGCACCACCTTCTTACACTTAGATAAGCAATAAATAAATAAATAAATAAATGCTGATTTCTGCAGTGAGAAGATTTTGCCTCTACATCTTCACTGCAAGTATAGATAAACCCAGGGCTATTTTTGGGCAGGAACGCACAGGAACCCAACAGCAGAAACTCATTAGGATTGGCTACATTAGGGGTGTGTGGCCTAACATGCAAAGGAGTTCCTGCTACAAAAAAGCCCTGGGTTTTGACAACAAACAAGGTAAACAGAATAACAAGCAAAAGGTGGGTGTGGCTGGATAAGCACGCGTCTGGTAACATGGGGGTGTGGCCTAATGTGCTAATGAGCTGTGCTGTCAGGGGTGTGGCCCAATATGCTAATGAGTTCCTGCTGTTGGGTGTGGCCTATTATGCTAATGAGTTCCTGATGGGCTTTTTCTACAAAAAGAGCCCTGGATAAACCTGCTATATTTACATGGTATAATTTATTGAGGGCACCAGTTCTGAGGAAGCTTCAGATGGAAAAATGTAGCACTAACAATCAATGACAGGGCAGATGTTTAGATGTTAAAGTCAGGAGTTATGACAGAGGAATAAAAGACCTGGGCTTTATCAAAAAGGTTTTCAAGGACACATCAAACAAGTAAAAATGGTATTTGGGACAGCGATGCTGCTTCAGTCACAGTTCACTCTGCTCAGGCACCACAGAGGCATCATCTGCTGGAGACTAATTATCTCAGGTATCTTCTGCTTGCAAAGAATTTTGGCTGCAACATTACATCCTCACGTTGCTAAAAGATGTGGGATGCACGGACCTGTCTACGCAGTTCCTGAAGTTCCCTTCGGGCTTCCATGCGAGACTTTTCCACATCCCGCAGATTTGCTCGGAGCTCTCCCAACTCTCTCTCAAATGCTCCTTGTGCTTCCTCCAGGATGGCAACCTTCTGTTCTTTCTCATCCTTGGATCTCTGCAAACTAAAGCAGATGCATGTGCTGTTATTACTGTTGACATCTCTCAAAGCATGGTGTAGTGGAAGCATCTATGGCAGCAACATGCATGGGCCTTTTCCTACTAGCCTGTCCTAATGCCCTGTCTACCTACCTGAGTCTCTCATTCTCTGCTTTCTTGATGGCTGCTCTGAGTTCAGAGTTGGACTTTTGTAGTGCTTCTTTTTCCCTGCTCTCATCTATCAAAGCCCTTTGGATTTCCAGCAGCTCCTTCTGTTGATGATCACGGGCCTCTTCAGTCTCCTGCAACCTGCAATGAAGTTCAACCACTTCCTTACGAACTCCTGCATGGGTATCATCTGCCAGCCGCAGTTGTGCCCTCAACTGTTCTGCCTTTTAAGAGAAAAAATACACACTCTCCTGAGTCTGGAAATTTTAGTATGCAGTGAATGTCTAAGTCAGCTTACTCATAAGTAAGTCAATTTGATTTAATTGTGACTCAGAATTGCAGATCCTAAAGACAAACTCTTTTTTAAAAACTGTGCTGCCTAATTAATTGGGAGCATTTTTTTGTCAATACAATTCTCCAATACACATGTTCGCCATTTTGTGTAACTAGGGCAATGTATGTATTTTCCAACTTAGGTCTTCATGGCTGCATATGCTTAAAATGTGGGTTTCCAACTGCATTTACCAAAGCTGGAAAACAGAAGTGTCATCCTCATTACACTAAATGGTGAATATATGTACTGAGAAAATCATGCATAGTGTGCTGTCCTAGTAAGCAAGATAGAAGTGCCAAAATTGTAATAATGACTGAAGGGGTACTGTGAACAATGGAAATAATTTCCCCCCAGGCAATTTGCAGTTTGGAGTAGAGTCAGACAAGAAGAATCCCCTTAGCAACCACAGGGCGGGAGAAATGAAAGCCTAGATGGTTAGATCCCCAAAAGTATCAAGTTTGAATGTAGATGAAAGCCCCAGAGATGGGCAATGATTTGCCCACAGAACATCACGCAGAACACATGCCCTGGTCAATGCCAACCAAGGACAAAAAGCCTGCATCCCAGTACAGTGTACTATAGTCCAAAGACTACACAGAGGATTCCTGAGGATAATACAGCTATTTCCTGAGTTAATACAGTATTAGTGCAGTATCTTATATGAGGAAGAAAATAGGGCTCAAGGTTTTTTTTTTTAATTTCATTTCTCTGAAAAATCAGAATCCACTGTACTACTTTTGCTATCTACAACATCTATTACAGAACGGGGACAGGGTATGGCTGGGCAAATTCTATATGAACCCCAAATAACTGTTTCTTCTTTCCCTGTTTTCTTTCCTACTAACTCTTTACTTTGAAAAGTTCTAACATTGTCCAGATCCTCCCTGTTGGCCTGGTTCATTCCACCCGGCTCTGTGTTATTGTTGTTCTGTTTTTGAGAAGGATTAGGGTGAGCCCCCTTCTCTTCCAGCCCCCACCCACATATGGGATCCACAAATGCACTCAACACTTTCTGCTGAGCTCAGCAGAAATTCACTAAGAAAGGTCAGTGACCAAAGAGAGAGACGATCCATCATAAAATAAACTGTTTTTATTCCCCAGGATAAGGTGGGGGGGAAGGTTAGCAGGGGGTGGGACTCAAAAGAAAACATTGCATACGAACACACAACCCCTCCTTGCTCTCTCGCTCTCTCTCTCTCTCTCTCTCTCTCTCTCTCTCTCTCTCTCTCTCTCTCTCTCTCTCTCACACACACACACACACACACACACACACACACACACACTCCTTCCTGTCCCTCTCCCCCAGTAAGGGCAGCTTTCCTAATTTACAGGAACATTGCAGCAAAGCTCTTAATGTGATTATTATAATTATTTCTTCACTACTTTTTTTTTTTAATAAGCAGCCTCTTTTGAAATCACGCCTGGACAGCCAAGTCTCCAGCTGAGTCCTGGACACATGGAAGAGGGTATTTCAGGGTGGGAAAGAAAGAAGATATTACAGTGTATGTGCGTGTGTGTGAGAGAGGAAAAAATATGTGACTCTCCATTGAAGTATTTGAAGTATACAGATGTGCCAGCACACATGGGAGTGCCTGCAAATGCATGCAACTGTTTCTGTAGAAGAAGAACATGTGTCTTGTGTGCATGGGCACCCAAACTTATGTGTGTGGAATTTGTGCAGAGTCTGCACTGCTGCTTGTTTGTTCAAGAGGGGGAATACAGTTTTCTGTATGTGTGTGTGAGAGAGGGAGAGGGAGAGAGAGACAGAGTGGCAGATGTGTCTTGTTTGAACGTCAATGTGTTGTATGTGCGTTTACATGAAAGTCCGTGAGTGTGCGTGCATGTATGGAAAGGCAGGGCTGCTCAACGAGCCTTACTTCCTCAAGTTAAAAGGCTGTGAAAATGTTATGGTTCCCATGGCGATAAGTAGGTCAATGCTGGCGCCGGTGAGGATTTTGCTCTGTGTTTCTTTGCCCTCAGCTTGTTATATTAGTCCCACAACTGTCCTCTCCCACTCCTCTCTTTCTCTCTCTTTCTGTCATCTGCTGCTGTCTCCACACTCCCCTCCCATGCTGAGTTAGTCTTTCTCTGCCCATTCTGTACCCATCCTCTAATATATGTACCCCCTTCGCCCCATCCCCATTCCTTTTGCCCCCCTCCCCCCGGAACAGCCCTCTTCAGCTTGCTTGTGTGGTCCCTCCTGGGGCTGGACTTTGAAATCTGTTGAAAGGAGGCCATTTTTTGCCAAAATAAACAGCCTGTCATGTTAAATTACTCTCTCTTCCTCTTTTATGTCCTTTAATTTTCTATTTCCCCTCACCCCACCCCAGTCTTTTCAGGCTGGGGTCATTCTCTTGTTCTGCAGTCTCTGTGTTTGTAGAGAACCAGAGCCCTGGAAGCATCTGGCAGTGGGTGAGGGTTACCACCTGGGGATGTTTTTCAGAGCTGCAGTCCCCCCCCCCCCAAGAGTTACCATCCAGAGATGGATCTTAAAAGAGGGAACACAACAGGATGGGCAGCCATTCCTCTTTCCAGTTTAGCTAATAGCAGGCCATTCTGGAAATACACGGCACTAATTGGCTGGGAGCACTGCCAGTAAGTCTAAAGTGAACCCACAGAGGGATACATTGGCTACCAAAGCTTTGTAGCACTTTCATCAGCCTAACTCTGGGCTACATACAGACAATACATTTCCAGAGAGTGGAAAGCAGTATGATGTGCTCTGTGTTGTGCACACACACTCATTTCCTTTGTTCCTCTGCTGTCTCTGGCCAGCACTACAAAAACCTACAAAGCTAGAAGTCTAGTGGAGACAGTAGTATGAACATGTACACCACTGGCAAATCTGTTTCCATCTTACAATATGAGTCCGAAAAAGCTATCATCAGTCTCTAACATAGAACTTGGGAAGGGGCTAAGGCTCAGTGGTAGAGCATATGCTTTGCATGCAGAAGGTCCAAGGGTTAATCCCCTAGCATCTCCAGTTAATAGGATCAGACAGTAGGTGATGTGAAAGACCTCTGCCTGAGACCCTGGAGAGCTGCCACCAGTCAAGAGTAGATCTTGACAGACCAATGGAGTGACTAAGTGTAAAGTAGTCTCACTTGTCCATGCATCCAACTGTTAACATATTTCACTTCACCTCATTCTGCCTGCCATCCTATGGCATTCTTGACTTTAATAAGAACAGAAGACCTTATCTACTCTCTGTTGGAGATTGGATGCCTTGAAAAAGGGTGTGTGCTTCCAACTACAAAGCATTTTATTCACAGGTTTCATGAGGTGGGTCGAATATTTCCCTACTGACAACAGGCTATTCAGGCCACAGGAACCAAGAACCAGTCCATGGCAAGAAGAGCAGAGCCAAAGGGACATACATACCTCCCTCCCCATGAGCTCCTTTTCTCTTGCCAGCTCCTTTATGTGATCATTCAAGCGCTTCACCTCTTTCTGGTGGGCAACCACTGCATCTTCAAACCGTGCCTGGAAGGTCCGTAGCTCATCAGTGATGCTAGCAACTGTGTTCTGTATAAAAGTAAGATTCAGGAAGATACGTGACATGAGCTGCCTTGTTCTTTGTATCCCGTAAAGATCTGAAATCTGGGGGCTCATCAAGGCTGTAGCTCCTTTGACACCTGGAATATTTTCCCCTCCCACCACCAAAAACCTTTACATGCAGAGCTCAATTCTAGAGCAGCACAATTTGAAATCTGTTGGCCAGGGGACAACACAGATGACCTTTTAGGCTAACAGTAAGGCAGCTGCATTACACATGTTACCAAGTCCTTGTGTGTGAATGGATGACAAGAGGACTTCTTATTGGATGTGTGATGAGAGTTTTGTGCCTCCCCAATGCACTCTGGGCCTTTTCTGCTCACGAACACAGTGCATGAGACGACATGGCTTCAGCCTTCTCACCCTGCACCATTTTCACATTCACTATGGGCTTCACTGTGAAAATTACCACAAAGCTATGTGTAAGGATGGTGATTTTGCAATGGAGCCAGTTACAGCTCCATGGGGCCGTCTCAGGATGCAAAAACAACGCGGGAGAGGAAGTGCGTGAAGCTCCTTCTTCCTATACACTGCAGTCAGAAAAAGCCCAGAATACATTTTAGAAGCACAATATCCCCATCACACATCTGATATGAAGTCCTCATGCACGCAAGGACCATAACATGTAGCAATGCCCTGAGGTACAGCTCCTTCCAAATTCCACTGTAACATGTGCTGGTCCCAGGGTTATTGAATGGCCTCAATGAACGTTTTCTGAAGACCACTGGAGCAGCTATTCTAACATTAAGGGACCATGAACACCAGTAAGCAAACCAAAGAGTTGAAAATTCAGCTGGTCGTACATAGTAAGACTTTCCTCATTTAGACAAGCACAGAGCTGGCAAATGCTGACAGGCCACCTTATCCATACTATGAAGCTACCAGGCCGCTACAATTTAAGAACTCTTGGGTTGCTAACATTTTGGGCTCCTTGACATTTCATTACCCCTGAAGCTGAAAGCAGCTTCAGTTCAGGGCCTGCCAACATTTTTTCACAAGGGCAACACAAGTAAAAATCCAAAGTCTGACATTGTGCCACTTCACTGTATATATGCAACTTACTGACAAAAAGAAAAAAAAAGTTTTTAAAGGTGCAAACCAGGATTTATTCAAGGAGCTGAGTCTCTTAACCTAGGGCCTTATACCTATACAAAGAAAGGTTGGTTCTCTCAGTAGGCAAACACTCAGAAAAACGCTCTTTCCACATTTACAGCCCCTCCCCCACTTTTAGTGCGCTAATGGCTCTGAGCCAAGGAATAGGCTGCAGCATTGCCCAGGAGCGCTGTTATGTATTAAGATGGCCATGCCAGCGCTAGCAAGGCCATGTGGTCAAACAGACCCTCGGGTCTAGAACAATAGACAGGTAGTATCCGAATGCAGACCAATGAGCTCGGCGGATCCTAGGATGGACCTATGGGGCGACCGGGTAGTGTAAATAGAGCCTATCGCTGGGAGTGGGGTGTGTGTTAGAGTGTGTGTGCACGGATATAAGCCAGTTCAGGATAGACCAGGTTATCTTCTGTTTTGGAGTATAATAAATTATGAGCTGATCACTATGCCATGTGTCTGAACTCAATACTTTTCAAGCGCCTAAAGCACTGCTGCCCACTATGATGCACTGCTTGAGTCACCCATACTAGAGTCCCCCTTGTGCTTCAGTCCATGTAGTTTCCTTAGGATAAGGATAATATGTCATAGAGCTCCTCCATCTGCTGGTGTTGACACAGCAGGGAACTTCTGAGTAAGGAACGTCCTTCAAGAGTTGCTCCCAAGAGTCCACTTAGGCCTTGCACTCTTCTTAAGTTCTTAACTGATCAACCAGCCCACCCTTTATCTTGAGCAACGTTTGTCCCAGGAGGGAGCCTTGACAGGCCTGCCTCAGTGGCATTATCTCCAGCCATAGCACAGTTTCAGCTAGACCACAGACGGTACTTGAGCATTGCTATCAGCAAACAGCACAGCAGAGCATGAGAGCAACTTCAGAGCTACGGTTGCCATTCTCCAAGTGATGAAGAAGAAGAGTTGGATTTATACCCCACCCTTCGCTTGGAATTTCAGAGTGGCTTACAATCTCCTTCCCTTCCTTTCCTCACAACAGACACCCTGTGAGGTAGGTGGGACTGACAGAGCTGCTCTTGAGAGAACAGCTCTGAGAGAACTGTGACTGACCCAAGGTTACCCAGCTGGGTGCATGTGGAGGAGTAGGGAATCAAACCCAGTTCTCCGGATTAGAGTCCACCACTCTTAACCGCTACACCAAGATGGCTGTAGTCTGAAGATCTGGAATTACAACTGATCTCCAGACTACAGAAATCATTTCCTCTGGACAAAGTAGTTGCTTCGGAGAGTGGATCCTATGGCATTGAGTCCCTCTCCTCCCCAGCCTTGCCCTCTCACACTCTACTCCACAAATCTCCCCAGATCTCAGCAACCCTGTCTGGAATAGGTAATAGATGAGGAGAAGATGTAGGAGCACTGGTTCAGTAAAGAGGGCACAGTGGAGAGAGGAATAAGTTTGTGGAAATGTGTGTGACAGGAGACATACACAGCCAGCCCCCATCCCGTACGGCTTAGTAGTGGAAGTCAGCCTGAGAGAACGGTCATGTGGCTACCTATCATCTGCAATGTAACAAGAAAGATGAACTGTCTTTATTTCCATAAGCCTGGGTGAATCTTTAGTCCCATTACCAAATTACCCACCACCCACAGACCATCGGTTCTTTCCCAGAAGCAAGAAAGGAACTGGTGTGATCTTGAATTTCTCGCTGTAGACCCAAAAGGCTTGCCAATAACCTGTATCATTAAAAAGTTACAAGGCAGTGTAGGATGTCTTCCATAGATTTAATATCAGCTTCATTTATTTTTTTTCTCCTCTCTATAAAAATCAGTCAATGATTCTACAAGTGGAACTACATTTTATAGAATCACAACACGCCAAGATGGAAAGTGACCTATGAGATCATCCAGGCCACCCTGTCTTAATGCAGTAACTCCCAGGACATAATTAGGACTCCAGCAGTTGCTTTGGGTTTCACTGTGCAGGCCATGAGCCTATTTTGATTCCAGAATAGAAATATGCAGGATTCAGTCAGTGTTAACATAAACTCTAGGATTGTGTGAACTGCTCCTAATCCCTCTCTAAAGAACAAGCAATGTCCCGCAGTCAGCCCTGTCTCTCCCTTCCCCCCCCCCCCCCCCAATCCACTGAAGAGAAAACCAAAGGAGGCAACAAGCATTCAGGGCATTACATTAGCATAGTTAATTTTACAAATTTGAAAGGCATAATGTGGAGTGGGTCATAGAGGGAGAAACAAGGATCCACAAACACTGAACCTGTTATAACTCCATGGCCTGTGTGCTGCTCTCTCCCCAAGGCCACGGGCTCATTTAAACCAACAGAATTGTGACATGCAAATCAGTCATCCAACTGTTGATTGGATCATGAGTCTCCTTTATGGGAAATGACCCACTTGGCAAATAAGAGAGTCAAGACACAGGAAAAGGGAGCCAAGAAATCCATGGAAGTTGGGAAATAGCACTATTTAAAAATATTATTTTGCTGTTGCAACCTGATGGCAAGAAATAAACAGCTTTAGGGTATGGCACACAACCAGATTTGTCTAACAATTAAATACAAATAAAATCCCTTAAGGTCTTTGTTGCTGACATCACAGAAGTTTGATCTGGACTCCTGACAGACTCATGGATGACAAATAACACAGTTTCCTCTGTAGGAGAATCATGCACCAACCTGTGTTTGAATTATATAATGTATGTGGATTTTCTGTAAGATCTGCTCCTCATTTCAGCTAAACTCTGGTTCAAATCTTTCTAAGGAAGCAAAGGTAATGTCTACATTAAACCCTTTTGAACAAGACAGTAGATAGAAATATCTAAACATTTGGAACCTGATTGCCAGTTAAAATGTCACACCTTTCTTGGTCTTCAATGCCTGTTCCCCAATCAAGTTCTGCTAAGGCCACGCAAGTGCTACCAGTTAGCTGGTTCATGGCAGTAGCCACATGAAGATGAAGAAGATGATGAGGAGGAGATTGGATTTATACCCCACCCTTCACTATCTGAAGGAGTCTCAGAGCAGCTTACAATCCCTTTCCCTTCCCCTCAGCAAAACAGACATCCTGTGAGGTAGGTGGGGCTGAGAGAGCTCTCTCAAGAACTGCCCTTGAGAGAACAGCTCTGAAGGAATTTATGACTTATCCAAGGTCACACCAGCAGCTGCTAGTGGAGGAGTGGGGAAGGAAACTCGGTTCTCCCAGATTAGAGTCTGCACTCTTTAACCACTACACCAAACATTAGGTGTATCAGAAGAGATGCTCATTTGTTTCTGAGAGGGTATCTAGATAGATGTCCCAGGAAGCACTGCTGCTATAAAACAGCTAAGAAGCAGGGTGTGCATGAACCACCCAACCTGGAGGATAGGGCAGGCAGTAGCACCAAAAATGCCATTCCCTGAACAGAGAAGCTGTACGATGGCTGACCCTGACCTGGAGGACGGCCTTCTATTGCTCCATGCTCCACCCTCATGCATTCCACAAGTAAGAAACTTCTATTACAACCATTGTTCCAAATGCAGTATGTGTAAAGTGCCATCAAGTCACAAATGACTTCTGGCGGCCCTATAGGGATTTAAAGGCAAGAGATGTTCAGAGGTAGTTCTCCATTGCCTGACTGTATAGCAACCGTGAACTTCCTTGGTGGTCTCCCATCCAAATACTAACCAGAGCCAACCCTGCTTAGCTTCTGAGATGTGATGGGATCAGGCTAGCCTAGGCCATCCAGGCCATGGCAAACTGCACATTGTTAAATTAGGGTATTTGAGGTAGTTTTTCTACACCTTCAACTGCATCCTACATCTCACTTTACTATTCCATTTCCTCCACCACCTCAAATTTTCTACAAGTCCTCTTCATTATTCTAACATGAGCAGTTCCAAGCAAATCAAATAGCCC